CTTGAACTTTAGTAACTCCCCAAGTTCAAGTCCTTCTTTACAGGGTCCAAGGCGGCTCACAAATGAAACCATTTAAAACTGTCAGACAGAATGGCAAGTTACACAGGATGACCAAAATCAGGACCTTTTATAGGCAAATGGTTCCCACTCATTGACTTTATAAATAAAGACAGAAACAAGAGAAGACAACCTCCATCTCAGCTGAACCTTTGGTCAGGTATTCTGGACTAGATTTACACAAAGACAGAACTAGACTTTAAAATGACCACTTACATTGAACAGAATCCAAGAAGGAGACCCGCAACACAATTCAAAGTTGTGAGATGAATTGTTTTATTTTGCTTTATTGTTGTGATATGTTTTGTACATAGTTGTTTACTTATAATAATAATTTCCTTTAAAAATAAATGTTTTTTTAAAAAGCCAATTAAAACCAACTAGCTGGAAAACAGTGTATAATTACAAAAACATACAAAAGTTAAAAATATAGCTAAAATACCCACACACCCAGGTATAAAAGCCAGTATAAATTGTCTAAGTAAAAATAATACGCATTACAAATGACAACCAGCTCTGTGTCATATGAAAGCTGCAACAACTGCTTTTATCAGCCCAAGGGATCAATAGAAAAATCAAAATGGAAAGGCTGTCCCTCTTGAATTTGTATTCTCAAATAACAGCACCTGAGGATGCCTTGGAGAAACACCAAATGGATCCAAAATTAATACAATTCTATCATTAATTCAAGGACTGCCATACTACCCTGAAGACTGGTTTGATCTAGGAAACAAAGAAGGTTCTTGTTGGTACTTGGATGGAAGGCCATCAAAGAGCAATACTAGACATCTCCAGGTAGGGTTAGGAGAAAAGAGTAATCCTGCCTTAAAACCTGGAGGGTGGTGGCTGCTGGTCAGAGTTGGTTATACTGGAGTAGATGGACTCCTAGAGATCCGATTGCTTGGACTTGGTGAGCTTTGCGGTATTTATATCTATGGTTCTATGAATCCCTCAGCCAGCAGGTCCCTTGAACATGCTGGCTGGAGGATTCTGGGAGTTATAGTCCCCCAAAGCAAGGACTGGCATCCTGTTGGTGTCATGCGCAGGCGTAAATTGCCTTGCACCTGCAGACCTAAATGTTGCACCCCTGTGCAATAGAAGTAACTTACTTTTCAGAGACGGAAACACAGTCCTGCAAGTGGTGCCATTGTGCATTGGTACATAATGTGCATTGCATGCAGTCGATCATTAATGCATGTTGCACAATGCATATAGAGCTGCATTGTATACTGGCATCAATGCACAGTGTTTTAAGTGTGCAAATGTGCTGCTGAAACTGGGCGCAGTGCAAAAAGCTGGTGGCTCCAGGGTCCATGAGGCCAATAAATCCACACTGGGGCTGAAGTCAAAACTGTCAGGGAGCTACTATCCAAAGCACTAAACTTATTTTGGGGAGTGGGTTCAGGACCACGGATTTCTCTTTTAAAGGTCAGACTAAACCCCAGAGTAGACAGACTCTGGCAGGGAAGCAGATGTTGCTGGAGGTGTTGGAGTGCAACTCCCAGCACTCTATGCCATTAGCTAGGATGGTTAGACGCCTGCTGGGAGTTGCAGTTGAACCAAATCTGGAATGCCACATGATTCCCACCCCTGCATGATTTGGTGGTTGTTGTTGTTGTTGTTGTTGTTGTTGTTGTTGTTGTTGTGTGCCTTCAAGTCATTTCTGACTTATGGCAACCCTAAAGGGAGGTTTATTCAGAGAAAGTTAGCCATTGCCATCCTCTGAGGCTGAGAGAGTGTGACTTGGCTAAGGTTACAAGCTACTTAGCACTGGGTTTCTTGGCCTACAGTGCCAAGAATCCTCCATCCAGCGTGGCCATACTGGTTGGGGGATAATGGGAGTTGTAGTCTAAAAGGTAACATTTCTGAGCCTTTCCAAACACTATGTAAACTGCTCTGAAAAGGATTTTCATTGGGGAGTAAAGTATTGATTTTTCTAGATAAGCCCTTAAAAACAAACCCAGCTTTCTCCTAGTTAATGATGTACTCTGAAACTGACCTGACTTTTGCGTTCCCTGCCTGGCCTCATGAAAGGGCGAGTTGTAGATTTTGTACTTTGCAGAAACACATCATGTGCTCGGCTGCCAGGTTTCCCAGGAAAGCAATTGTTTTTGAGTTTCCTGACCCTGTTTTCACTTCTTTCCTAAAAATATGGATTTGTAATTGGTAGACCGACCAAACCCAAAGGGGGCTCAGCAATGGCTCCTTCATTCATCCTGGAGAGGAGTGACCAGTGGGGTGTCCAGTGGGTTTCTGTCCTGGGCCCAGTTGGCTATCAAATGATTTGGATGAAGGAATAGGGGGCGTGCTTCTCAAATTTGCAGATGACACCAAATTAGGAGGAATAGCTAATACCCCAGAGGATAGGATGAAATTCAAAATGACCTTAATAGATTAGAAAACTGGGCCAAAGCTAGCAAAA